TACTCGAAACCATGCCCAGTATATAAGTACTATATAAACATTAACTATTGTTATTATAATTATCATTATTATTCCAGTACTAAATCCAGTTTTTCCAATCTTATACTGCGAAATTTCTGCATATTCCACTGACACAGAAAATTAGCCGGGTAAACATTTCAGAGGATGTGCCTCCTTAAAGAGTGAGATCAGTTGTCAAACGGCAGCCCATTGGCCAAATCTGCCCCTCCCCTCCTGTGGCCAGATCCTGCCCTGCCCATTGGCTTCCATAGGGCCCATGGCTGCCTTTGCACTACAAGGGCAGAGTTAAGAAGCTTCAGCTGAGAACTTATGGCCCAGAAAGCCAAAAATATTGACTATCCAGCCCTTATGAACGAAGAAAAACATTGGCTGAATCCTGAGTGAAAAGCATTATTGTTCAAGACAACATATTTATTCTCTTATAATTCAAGACATATTGCTTGCAAGTACTTCTAAAGAAACTACCAAGACAACCATGACTTTTCGTCCTTGCTCCCAAAGATCAAAGCTGAGTCTCAAGTAACTAGACAGACAAAAAGCATTACAGCCTCCACTAATCACAGCTATGAGTTCTATCCCCTGTCTTACTCTTGACGGTAATAACAACTTGCCTGGTTTTCTAGGACCGTGGATGGCAGGCTCTTCCTTGTCGTCCTCCTGAAAGAGAGGTATTTCCAGTCCCTGTTGGGGTTAACATTTTTCTGTTTGTGTTGATGTATGTGTTCGTGTGTGTACACACCTGTGTGTGCCACACACTTTGCTGGGTTCTGGAAGTACAATTTTTGTTCCCAAGATTGATAAGATTTCTCTTCCCATGACACTTGTATTCTAACACAGAGATAAAAAAAAAAGAAAGCCCAGAGAAAGATATCTTTTAAAGGAGATAATGTCTGGTAGTGATACAAGATATGAAGGAGCAAAACAGGGCTCTGGGCTGGAGAAGGATTAGGAGGAAGAGAGGGGGCTGCTTTAGATTGAGTGGCGAGGGAAGGCCTCTCCCAAGAGGACGCATTTGTGCTGAAATCTGAACAATAAGAGGAAGCCAATTTGCACATAAATAAAAAAAATAGGACAAGAGGTGAGCAAAGATGAGCTTGGCAGAAGGCAGAAGTGAGCTTGGTGTATATATGGAAGAGGAAGAACACTAGGGTGGCTTACATGCCAGCCGTCTCAGGTGAGATTGGAGAGGGGCGTCAGGGTAAGATCATGCAGAGGTTCACAGGCCTTGATAAGGAATTTGAATTTCATACTATGTCAAACGAAAAGCCACTGGAAGCTTTTCAGCAGGGAAATGACATGATCTGATTTTTATCATAAAAATATCAATTTGGCAGCTAGGACAAGAACGAACGGTGTTTGGGAAATATTGGAGATTGGAAGCAGGAAGACAAAAGGTTAGCTCTTGGGGTAGTTCAGGGGAGAGATAACAATAGCAGTAGAGGTGAAAATCAGCAAGTATTCAGGGTATATTTTGGAAATATAATCAGCTGCAATTTCTAAAGGATTGGATGTGGGAAAGAGAAAAGGGGAGAAATTAAGGATGATTCTCACTTGTCTTGTGGTCCAAGAGACCAGTTAGTTGGTGGAACAATTTTCTGAGAGTCATTCATTTGTTCATTCAACAATGTTTATTAAGGACCTACTTTTTGCCAGGTACTGTTCAAGGCACAAGGTACTACAGCAGCGAAAGAAGCAGCAAAAATCCCTACTTTTGTGAAATTTATATTCTAGGAGGGGATAGAGAATATAGAAGATTAAGGGAGAAGAAAGAATTTGGGGAGAAAGATCGAGGAACTTATTTACCAGACCCTGTTGATTCTGTCTCCTAAATATTTCTTGCAATAGTTCAAGATGAAATGAATAGCAGGTGCGTTAAAGCCACATTCAGGGTGTTAAATTAATTAAACAAAGAGGCCGTTAGACTGAGGTGCCTCTAATGCCATGGTGCATATGTAAGCAAGCCAAAATCTCAGCCTGTAAATGTTTCAAGATTATTAAATCAAAACATAAGGACAACCAATCACAAACTATAGCCAATCAATAATTGTCTTGCTTTGCTTCCATATTTTCTCTACAAAAATCTTTCCCCAAATTCCTGTCAGTGGAATGCTCCTAATCACTCTGGCTTGGGGCTGGCTGATTCAAAACAATAAATGCTCAAATAAACTCTTAAAATTCTTAATATGCCTCAACTTACCTTTTAATAAGGAGTAGACTTCAAAGACATTGGGAGGGAAAGTCTTTCCAATGGGCAGAGCTACAAACAATACATCTGGTCATCCACTTTGTACTGAAGAGGTAGCCCAAGTAAGACTATATAAAGATTTATGGACAGTGGTCAAAGGGCTGGCCTTTAGTCAGGGGCCTGAAAAGGACTGGAAGATCAGAGATGAGAATATCTGGAGTAAAGGCATACAGATGGACATATAGACACTTCATGAAGAGTTGCCTTTCATATTAAACATTTATGCCTACCAGAAAACCTCCACCACTATAGAGGGACTGAACCACCAAATAGACAAATGAGTCTGCCAACTGACACTAGCCAATCTTTGCCATTGGCCACCCAAGATCTTGCGTGAAAGGCGCATAAATGAAGTGTCACAATGGCAGAAATGGAAGCTACCTATAGGCCCGATGATTTGACTCCCACTTACCAAGATAGATCCAGCTACTGCTGCCTCCCATCTGGCTACTGCTGCCTCTGAACATCCAACCTAGCTCAAAAAGTAATTGTGGTGTATCACCATAGGTACAGATACCTATTTCAGGTGTGGGTTTGCCTTTCCTGCCCACAGAGCCTCAGCCATGAGCACCACTCTCTGCAGGTTTATGGAATACCTGATCTACAGTCACGGAATCCCTTGCAACAGAGCACCTTGGTGTTGGCGCGCAAACTCAGGAGCCTCCTGGGAGAAATATGAACCTGGCCCCTATACAGAAGGCAAGGAGAGACCCAAGAAAGAGGCAAACCACTCCAGATTGGTAGGTAGCAGGTTTAATAGGTCAGGAAACTTACTCATGAGGCTTGCCTCCAAAGGCCACTGGAAGGGCAGATCTCCACACTGCCCGCCAGAAGCCTTCACGGGGTTCAGCCACATATACTGTCCAAATGGTCTCCACTGTACCTTACTCTCTCAAGGCTGCATCCTTGAAAATGGCTCCCACTGTGAGAAAGTGGGCAAAGCATACATTCCAAGGACATGGAGGGGGTGAGGAACCTCCCGTTGCCCAGATGGGGCTCTGGGGTCAATCAGCGGACACATTCTCTGGAAAACTCCCTCCAACACTCCATCCCTCCAGTTGGGCTCTTTTGCAGTGTGCTGAGCAGTCAGCAAGGGGTTTCATTATCATGAAGATGGCGCGTTTGACAGCTATCTGGGTGCACTAGAGGCGGATACCACAGGAATAATACAGGCACTTGCAAACACAGATTAAGATGATTCCCAAAATAAGTAACAATTTTTTTCCACCAAGATCCCCATGAACCAAATCACTGATTTATTAAGTCCCCTAGGCTGTGGGTCAGATCACTTAGGGCATTCACTTGTGTCCTCGTGTGATTTAATAAAGATGACACGTTATCAGACTCATCGGCTATGAACATGCAGTTTGGATAATGTACAGGTGCCTCCCTGTAAGACAGTAATAACGTCCAAGGCCATTTTGAAGGACTTTTCCCATTAGACACATTTCAATGTTCAGTAAGGACAGGCTTTGTTGGCTATTCTTTAAGGCTTACTGGGCGAATACAGTGAGGGCTTCTATGGATGCTCTGTCTTCCAGGCCAATGGAGGAACAAAGACAGTGGTCAAATGATTGTACCAGTAGAAAACAGAACGTGCCCATCTGGCCTTGAGGAAAGGGAGGTCGGCAGCTTTAGGAACTTGACCTGATTGTACATACATGTTGGCATGAACATTGTGAAAAGATGGGCTGGACACAGGATATGCCAGACCAAGACCCCCACCTTCTCCCCTCTTTCAGTGGTGCATGTTCCATTCCAGGTAGAGTACATTTCAACAGGTCCAGCTTACGGCAGGACAATGGATCCCAGTGGAGATTGAGTAGTTTCCCCTCGCCCAGGGGAACAAATTTACTCACCCATCCTGGTAGGACATGCCATTGCAAATTCCAATACCACCTTTCCCAGGCATGAAGGAGCTTGTTCTCAATAGCATATCACATTGACCCATGGTAAGATTTGGGGCAATGGCTGTCTCCTGTGACTTTCAAGTCTTTACAGTGTTAGGTTTGGTCTGGCAATATGGGGCAACAGGCCTTACTGGATGACCATTCACATGTATTAAAGCTCAGATAGTAATTGAGTCCACTCGTCCAAGGTGGTTTTACCTGTTGGTAATTTAATTTGCTGCTTGTGGGTTATAGAGAAGATGAAACCTCCAATGTCATGCTCTTTTGCTCAGTCTTGTAAATTACAACCTTTAAAATGTGACCCCAATTACTGTCTATTTGACGAGGGTGTCTGTACATGGTACTCAGCTTCTCTAATCCCCTAATTGTGGCAGCCTGGTTGAGTTGGGACAGATGTAGCATCCACACAAACTAAGTCATATTTAGAACCCTCAGATGGAGAGGGTCAATATAATCAATTTGCCAGTCACGCACCAGTTGGGAGCTCAGGTGAATGGCCCGACTTCATTGGCAGTTGCCTTGGATGTTGTTTAGACCACACAGACATGCTGTTACTGAATTAACCGCAAGTCACTATATTTCAATGGCAATCTAGGCACTGATCTGGGTTGTTACAGCTGGGGAAGGGGGTGCTATTGGAATCTAGTGGGTAACGAGGAGGGTGCTGTGAAGCATCCTACAATGTAAAGGACAGCTCCCCTTTCCCCAGTAAATAATTATCCTGTCCCAAATATCTGTAGTACCAAGGTTGAGAAACCCTGACATAGATAAAGAATAGCTGGGTACAAACATATAAATATATGCATTTATATTGTGTTTCTCCACTTAATATAGTTTGTTTATAACATTAAAAAATCAATGTTTAATTACAAATGATTTGTTCTACATGCCAGCAATACAAAGTGTTGCATTAGTACCACCAAAACCAAAGGAATTGGTGAGTCCAATACATCTTTTCTCAGTTTTCCATTCCTGTGCCTTTAGTGGAACATAATTGAGATCAAATTCTGGTTCTGTACAATCCAGGTTTAAAGTAGGTGGTAGTTTTCGATGATAACAAGCCAGAGCGGTAAACGCTGCTTCAACTGCCCCAGCAGCTCCCAGCAGATGTCCTGTGGCTCCCTTAGTTGAGGAAATGGCAAGTGCATATGCATGGTCTTTGAAAAGATATTTGATAGCTTTGTTTTCAGCAGCATCTCCCAATGGTGTGGAAGTAGCATGTGCATTGACATAGGATATCTCTTCCGGCTGTACATTTGCATCCTTTACAGCAGCCGTCATAGATCTAATGAAATAAAAGAAACATATCACAACTAAGTTTAATTTTAAAATAAGATTCATTATTTGTATGGCTCATGTGAAAGAAATATCCAAGTACACTGGATGAAAATAATCCTTTGCTCTAATAACGAAAACCCATCTTGGATTACCATGTGAGCTATTATAGAATGCCATCTGCATGATAATAATGAGTCACTCCCAATACCTTAGACTGATTCATCACCAAGAGATAAACATACAATCCTATGGATTTTATAATTTCTAACAAAATATATTTCTATTTATGTGAAATGACTTCTTCCTTTGGAGGGAAAATAATACATTGATTCAAGCCTAAAATAAATTTTCTCCTAGGAATTTTTTATCTGTGTGCATGTGTTTGTGTGTGTGTATCTGTGTGTGATTTAAAATATGGAGAAAAACTTTATAACTATGTTTTAATTTTTCCTCTCATTTAAATGTAAAAGTTGACATATTTCCCAATAATCTAAAAATGTCTGAACCATTACTTCAATGCTTTAAATAACCTTGTAAAATCCTATTTAGGCTGTAAGAATTCTAATAAATGAAGTACAAAGCTGGCTAAGAAACAAACACATCCAAAAATAAAACATTTTTTCAGAAGAATCTTGGAAAATCTCATGGATGTCAACACCTTTTTTAAGTTCCTGATCTCTGAGTTGCATATATTTCCTTAAGAGGCAGCTCAGAATAGAATTTTGAAATGTGCTGAAAGGTTTCATCTAAACATAACTAGTTCTTCATTTAACTGGCCACTTTACATTTCTAACACTACTAGAAATTTCTGCTTACTAAAACTCAAAAGTATAATTCAGGGCTTAGCAAACTATGGCCCTGGCCAGATGCCTGTTTTTGTAAATAGTTTCACTGAAACATGCCCATTCATTTATGTATTGTCTATGGCTGCTTTCGCACTAGAAGGAAGAGTTGAGTAGTTGTGACAGAGACCCTATAGCACACAAAGCCAAAAATATTTACTATTTGTCCCTTTACAGAAAGGGTTTGCCAACCCCTCACTAATTCAACTGGTTACAACATAATATGACCTAAGCAGGCTAACCTATTAGCTCACACATTGACAGGGCTTTTTTTTTTAAACCGAACTCACCATCTCTTCGACAACAGCACCCGGCTTTTCAAAATGTGGTCCTCAGACCAGCAGCGTTAGCATCACCTGGGAGCATGTCAGAAATGCATACTCTCAAGAACTACCCTAGACCTACAGAGTCAGACTTTGCATTTTAATAAGCTCTCTGGGTGATCATAGGTGGAGAAGTACTGATTTAATAACAGAACGCTGTTGAAATGGAGCAGAGACCAGACACATCTAGAAGAAAGGACTGACTCTACTGTCCAAGGGTGCTGAAGGGTAAAGAGGACGGTGGGAGCAAGCACTCTACAGTCGTTAAGTACAACTGGAGGTATGAAAAGTTAGCAAAGAAACACGTGGCCTTCTTCACAACTTTCTTGGCCTTAACTAAAATCCAATTTTTGCAAGGATGTTCAAATGCTTCCAAATATTTCAAACAGGTTAAAGCAAATAAATCAAAAACACTGTTTAGTCTAAAGTGGAAAACAATAGATACCATACACCATGGCCAGATACTACAATCTATCCTAATTTGAAACTCCAATAAAATATCTTATTTGAAGAAATATTTTGAACGAAACACAGTTTTTACCTTAAGGCACCTTCTCCTTCAGGATCGGGGGCAGTTATGTGACCAGCATCGCCTGAGAGTCCATAGCCCAAAACTTCTGCATAGATCCGGGCCCCTCTTTGAACGGCATGTTTATGTTCTTCCAGCACCAGCACAGCTGCACCTTCTCCCATTACAAAACCATCTCTTTTGGGATGAAATGGTCGACATGCCAACTTAGGATCAGAATTTGTGCTCAGAGCACGGGCTCTGGAAAACCCAGCAAGAGATAAAGGGCTAATGCAAGAATCTGTACCTCCAGCCACCATCACATCAGCATCACCATGGGCTATAAATCTAAAAGAGTCTCCCACAGCATGAGCTCCTGTTGTGCAGGCTGTAGATACTGCATGATTGGGGCCTCTGAGTTTATATCGAATGCTGACCTGGCCTGCTGCCATATTGACTAGAATCTTAGGGACAAAGAAAGGGCTGACTTTATTGTAACCTTTTGTCTGAAACATCAGAGCAGTTTCAGAAACAACTTCAAGAGGAACCATTCCCATGCCAATTGCAACGCCTGTAGCCACTTGATCAGCTTCTGACTGAGGATGCCAGCCAGCATCTTTCATGGCTAACTCTGCAGCCCCAATGGCCATGATGGTAGGAGAAGACATGGACTTGATATCTGATTTGGACACAAAGTTTTGTTCATTGAACTGACCTTCTTCACAACCTCTTGGCACATAAGCAGCAACACTGCAAGGGATACTCTTATACTCGTCACCAACCAGTGAAATGATCCCACTCTCTCCTCGGATCAGACGATCCCATACCAGTTGTGTCCCGACACCAAGAGGGGTCACTAAGCCAATGCCCGTGATGACAACCCGCCTATGTAATCTGGATGTTGGCACAGTTCCAAAACGTCTTTTACTTCTTATTAATCGCTGGCATAATCTTGAATATAGACAAGGGTTTGTGATTTTTAGGATATTTGGCAAGCAGTTTGAAAACATGGTTGAGATTCTGATGATCAGAAACACGCTCCTGTAACAGACCACAACAGGCCCAAGAGATACTCACTGTTGTTTAAATAGCTTAAAGGCCTAAGAAACAATATTCCCGAGGTAGTCTTTCAGGTGCTTCCTGTGAGCTGTTAACGAGCACAGGGAAAATAATGTTACATCATTTTAATTTATACTTATCAGACCACCTGTTTGGGCTTAACTCCCTTTTGTAAATACCCTCGGACATTCCAAGACAAAGAGGTGAAATAACGATTCATTCAATTCACCCCCACACAATTATAAAATGAAAAAAAAAATAAAGGCACTCCGAGCCTTATATGGGCTGCGGGGAGCATCCTTTTTCAGGATTACCAAGGCTTTATTCTAAATAGTATTTCTGGTGGCATTGGCACAAAACACATTTCAGGGCCTATTCTTTGAGGGACTTGATTGATATTCAAAACGTGGAGATAATCTGGGTTTCAGAGATCGCGAAGGTCAGGGGCGGGGAGTAAGGGGTGTGGCCAATCCCCGCACGGCCTCTCAATCACCACCACGCACACCCGGAGAAAGCACGGCGAGAAGAAAAGAAACCAGGCCTTGGTTATCAGACTCTCCTCTCCCTATCTAATCCCGAACCCGAATTGGCGGTGGAGAAGTGGAAGAACAAGAGTACGTAGCAGCCGATACCTTCAACAGGCCTCTAGCCACTCACACAGCGACCGTCTTCGGCGACGACGCTCGCTTGCGCACGCGCACGCGCACGCGCACACGTACACGCACGTCCGTACATGCGCACGCAGATGCACGCGTTACGTCGGAGCCTGCTTCAGCCGGTTGTCTTTCTTTCGCATTACCTTGGCGGGAGGCGGAGGGAATCCGGGGAATTTTTGCAGAATCTCCTCTCGCAACCTCAGTGAGTCTCAGATAACCAGGAATAAATAACGCGATGAGATAGCATTTTTGCCGATCAAAATGGGAATTTTTTTGTAGTGATAATACCCACATTATATCCCTGTTGTGGAGGAAGGAACACCATCATATTCTACTAGAATCCTAGGAAAGAATCAATGAGAGTACTGTAGCCTCAGAGTTTTTACTGTACCTCCCAAAGTTATTTGTAATAGTAAAGTGGAACTCGCCAAAATGCTCCACACCAAGAAATTGGTTGTGTATTTTGTGGGTACTTGTAAATGCTAAGCAACCATTTAAAATATTAATAACTTTATAAATGAGTATTTATTAATGTGGAAAGATGTTGAAACTATTATTTGGCGATACAGGATACAAAAATATCCACTTTTTTAAGAGGTTTTTTTTTTTAAGTCTGCAAGGATGTACAATAATTGTGATGTTACCCCTCCCCCTTATTTTTGCTTAGCTTTATTTACTACTGTATTTTCTACAGTAAATAATGTTGTAATATTTCTAAGTGTCTGAAAATTTCAATTTTATTTGCCCAGAGGTGGCTGTGAATCTACGAAGGAAAATTACAGAATGAAACAATTTTTTTTAAAAAGCAGGAAATCAGCAAGGTGGTATTTAGATGACCATCTATTGCTCACATGCCATCCCAGGTGTGAGCTTTGTATCCTTTTTCCTTCAGATTCTTATATAATATGCATCTGAACCTCCCAGCCATTTTGTTTCTTTCTGGGCAGTGTCCCTTGAAGGGATTGCTTCTAAATAGAGTGCTGTGTGTTCTTTTCCAGCTCTAGAGAAGAATTTGGGCCAAGCTTAGCTTTTCCTGGTTAGTACTGGATTTAAATGAGTTTGTAAATATAATTTGTCTAAAATAGTTCAGTGAAGCCCACTGTGACCTTGAATCCATAGCCTCCTGTTCAGACTTTGAAGGTTTTTAAATTTTTTGTATTTTGATTCCAAACCATCTTTCCAGATATAGCTCCCGTTTTTTATTAAATAGACCCACCCAGCAAAACTGATCTCACTATCCCTGAGTTGACTTAGCTTTTCCTTTTTCATCTCTGTATCTTTGCTTGTGCTTTCTTTTCTTCAACATTTTCCTCCTATTTTGTGCTAGAAGCTGGCATACAAAAATGAATAGGACGTGGTTCTTGCTTTCAAGAAGTTCATAGCCTAATAGAGACAGCCATGGAAACGTGCAAACTACTGAAATAGGTGGTATCATAGAAGAATATAATTATTATAATACAAAGGAAACAAGTAGGTCAGTGCTACCTTCCAAAGTCAGGATAGGCTTCAAAAAAGTGATCCTTGAGCTGCATCTTGAAAATGAGTAAATGTTTGTCTAGTTAATTGGGTGGGAGGGCATCCTGACAGGTGGACTAGGACAAAGAAAGGCCTGGAGACATGGTATCTTCCACAAACTGCTAGTAGTTCAGTATGGCCAGTGTTAAGATTTGAGGTGTAGTGTACAGCTGAAACTAATTCTAAAAATGTATTTCATAATAAAAAATAATTAAAAGAAAAAAAAAAGATTTGAGATGTGGGATGAAGCAACAGTAAAAGCAGGAGAGTAAACAGGGACCAATCACAAAAAGTCTTGGGCGTCATGCCGAAGATTCTGGATTGGATCCTGTAGATCAGAGATGATAGGCTGGCAGTCCTGGTCTAATTTGGATGGCAGCATTCTTCTACTGAATCTAAATTCCTCTGGGAAAGATATGGTAAACTCGTCCCCCTCACCAGAGTCTCTGCTATTCCTTCTGTCAGAAAGAAAGCCACTTCATACACTGAACTTACTTGCTTGGTTCCTAACACCATTTGACTTTAGAGTATGGGTGGCAAAAGGTAGCTGTAGGAAACTTTTTAACCAAAAGAATAACATGACCAGATGTGTGCCTTAAAATATCACTGTTGCAGTAGTGTGCAAGGTGAATTCGAGGGATATGGAAGTAGATATGGGAAGAGAATTAAGGCTGAACAAAAGATGATGAGGCCTTGAACTAAGTTAATGGCAAGGAAGAGAGATGAAGATGAGGAGGCAACATTGCTAGGATGTTGTCCCTGAAGAAAGGTGAGGGGGGGTGGTCTCAATCTAGGAAGTTCTCACTTCTTTAACCTCCAAATTTAAGGATACTATTCAAGTTCTTCCTCTTCCATGAAAGTGCAGCCCACAGTGAAATTTTCCTTCCTCTAAACCAGCTCTCAAACTTGACTGTGCATCAAAACTACCTGAAGGGTTTGCTGCTACATAGATTGCTGGGCCTCACCTTTAAAGATGGGGCTTGAGAATCTGTCTTCCTGACAAGTTTTCTGTTGCTGCTGCTACTGCTGCGGATCTAAACACTGCTGTAAACTCATGACTTCCATGAAGCAGGGCCTGTGCTCAACTCCCTCACTGCCTCATAGTGCCTATACAGTGCTTCGCATTCAGTAGCCACTTCATAAATCCTGGTGAGGCATTTATGTGAATAATTAGGTGAATGAATGAATGATGAAATGAATGAATAAACACATACCCTCACATTCTGTTGTAGACATGCATCACTTGGTGCATTTCTTACTAAATAACTTTTTGTTTCATTAACTACAGGGCTATCTTTAGTTAATGAAACTATATAAGGTATTATCATTAGTTGTATCTTTTCTACTAAATTAAAAGTGATGTCAATTATCTCTGCTTTGCATACAACAGGTGCTCAATAAATAGTTGTCAGTTAATCACCTAATGCAATCACGCTATAATGCATCACCACACCCATTCCTGAAAGGCTTCAACCTCTCTCCTTACTGATGGTCTTTATTGAGGACAGCATTTTCTTTTTTGTGACAAAACTGATCCTGGGGAAATTCTAATGGGTTAATTCTTTTTTCTGCTCTATTTAAGAATAGTGCCATCATGTGTCAATTCTAAAGAAATTGATAAATTCTTTAGAATTTATCAATTGATGTGCTTGATAAAGCTTGAATCCTGAAAAAATCATTTGGAGCAAAAAAATCAAGTAAAAGAATTTAAGTTCAAAGCTGATTTAATACGAGAACATCCTTTAGTTGTTTGAAGCAATGGTGGGTATAAAGAGATTAAGAGTAGCTTAATATTTTTAGTTGTAAAGGAAACTGAAAATCAAAGTATTTTCAACTCGACTTAAGTGGAAGAAGCAGACGGGAAAAAGAATAAGTCAAAATCCCTTATTATAATAAATTCCCTTGATAGCTTTATAAATGGTGGTATCCCAGAGATAGTAGTTACTCAAGAACTGTAACAGAAGTATTGGTAAGCAGTAATTTGGAAGGATTTAAACTCCAGGTAATTTAAAATAGCATACTATATTACCCTTGAAATAATCATTTCTATGATTTTATGGACTGTATGTTATTATCACAGTGGTAACTCTATGGCATTGGTTTTCAGACTGTGGTTACATGTTCCCCATAAAGGTACTGGAAGGCCATTATCTCTGTCAAGTGGAAGGCTGAGCAGATAGCATTCTGTTCCTCTTACACACACACACACACACACACACACACACACACACACACACACACACACACACACACACACACACACACACACACACCCTACTTCACTTCTAGAGCACCACCACTTTGGTGTTTTGTATATACTTAGGTTTCCTCCTAAGATTTTATTTGTAAAAAAAGTGTTCCATTGTTTAAAAAAAAAAACCATAAATACTATATAGCACATAACAACCTTATACAATTATTATAAGGATAAATAAATGTGCTAATGGAAAAAAGAAACTCAAGGGGAATATAATTTGTGATAGAAACAGCTATAACCCCCTTCCATCATTTATAGAGGGGTGGTTGGTGCCTGTCCAGCCAGGGACTACATTTCCCAGCCTCCCTTCCTGTTGCCTAGATGGGGCTTCCTTTTTGCCAATGACATGGTAGAGAAAATGCTTTATGTCATTTCTGGACCCGTGTAGTTATGATTCAGGTATGCCTTCCTTTTCCCCAACCATTAATTGAATTCCAATGTCTCTGAATCTCTCTATGGCAGAAGTTAGTAAACTAAGGGCCAAATCCAGCAGGCTACCTGTTTTTGTAAATAAAGTTTCATTGGAATATGGCCAAGCCCATACATTTTAAAGTAGTGTCTGTGGAACTATATAACTGCAGAAGCGGAGTTAAAAAGTTGAAGCAGAGACCCTCTGGCTTCAAAACCTTAAACACTATCTGGTCTTTTAAAGAAAATGTTTGTTGATCTCTTTTCTATAGGATGGAAGGAGCCTGGGTCCCTGTATCATTACATGGAAGAAAGCTGCCCAATGACTAACAACATCTGCATTATGAAACTGTTATGTGAGCAAGAAAGACATTTCTCTCGTGTTAAATCACTGAAAATTTTTGTTACAGCGTTAGCAACATACCATCGGTTAAACATTATTCTTGGAAGCTGTTTCAAAAACCTACATATTTATTAAAAACTTCAGATGGCAGATGAATGGTAATTGAAGTAGATGGCATAGCTCAGGGTTTTGCTCATAGATACTGGAAGAAAATTGCAAATTTTAAAAACAAACAAAAGATAAAGCATCAAGAACAGTTAAAGAAGTTAGGCAAATATCTTAAAAGCATAAGGTCAAGAAAAATATGTGTTGAGGTTTGGAAAGGAATTCCTGCAAAGAAGGACGCTATTGGTACATTTTCAAGGGCATGGTAAGGACAGGATGGATTATAGAGGTTAGGATTCATCTTCTAAAAGGAATAAAGGACACTGATCACATGATCTACCTGCAAAACAAAGTCACCACATAATATTTATCCTTACTCTATGGGATGTACATTTGTATTGCCTTTCCTCCTCTCCATCCCCCACTCTATTCTATTTTGTCTTTATTGGGCATGTGTTTTATGCTGGTCACCACAAGGTAAATTGAGTCCATAAAACACTTTTTTAGAGAGGCATTACACTATTTGAGCTGGAACTTATGCAAGAGCTTTTCAATCATTAATCTAATTCTGAAAAGAGTCCATATACCAGAAACCCAACAGAGTTTACAACCACGCGGTTTGTTTGTTTTTGGTTTTTTAACGTTTGTTGCTCCTTCCTTCTGGGGCCTTTCATCACATCTATACAGGAAGGCCTGACAATCTTCGAGAAGGAAGCTATAAGACTTTTATTTGGGGGAAAGGGGTGATTGGAGGTATAGGGGTTTTCCCCACCTCCGTGGCTGGATAAGTCGAAATCGGGAGGAATACAGGTTTCCGCGGCCCACAGCCAGCCCAGGACCCCACCGCGAGCCTCGCCCCTCCTGGACGAAGCCCCCAGCCCCTCTCGGCCAGCCCTCCGCCCCACCCCAGCCCTGACTACCAGGTACCCCGCCAGTCCTCCAAGGCCTCCCGGCCCAGACGAGCAAGTAGCCCGCCCCTTGTGGCCGAAGCCCGCGGGCCCTGCCAGCCCGGCTCCTGTCCCGCCAGGTCAAAACCCCTGACCCTCCCCGAACAGGCCCCAGCTGGCCCAGCCAAGGCCCCTGCCCGCCCATTGCCCTCCCCACCTCAAAACCCCCCAGCCTTCCCGACCGAGACCCGCCCCTCCGGGCAGAGGCCCGGGCCCCGCCGGGCCCGCCGCAGAGGCCGCCGCGCGCTGAGGCGCCTGCTCAGTGCGGGACGCGGCGCGCGAGGGGCGGCGACGGGCGCGGGCGCTCAAGCATGGCGGCAGCGGCGCTGGGCAGCCCCGCGGACTCCGCGTCCCCGGCTGTGGCCGAGCTCTGCCAGAACACCCCAGAGACCTTTCTGGAGGCTTCCAAGCTGTTGCTCACTTACGCGGACAACATCCTCAGGTGCGGGGCTGCGCGGTAGTTGGGGGGGGGGTGGGCAGGGCGCGGCCCCTGTTCCGCCCGGGTTTGGGGGTGCCCGGCAGGGCGGCGAGGTCAAGAGGTCTAGGGGCCTGGGCTTGGCTCTCGCTCAGTATCGGGGCCCGCGGGCCAGGGCCCAGAGACACAGTCAGGCCCCACCCTCGCCCGAGAAGAGGAAGTTTTTTTGCACTTGATGTAGGGGTGAACCTGCGGTCCCGGGGGTAGGATAGGGCGAGGGAGGTAGGAAGGCGTGTCCCCAAACACTTGCCTCTCATCCGGTTAACTGTCTGATATGACAGGACATAAATCGTAACTGCCTTTGATTATCGCTGCATGGATTTTGCCTTAAGCTTCCATATGCTTATCAGAAGTGAGTCACTGACAGAATTCCCAACATTTTGTGAATATCCTAATATTAAGAATAATACTGAAGTGGTGGGCTTTTTACCTTTTCTATGGTCTTTTTCTGCCCATTTTGTTGTTTGAAACATGATTAACCGTATTGCTTGAAAAGCTAAAATTTTCATATTATCTGGATTCTACTTTCAAAATGATCATTTAAATAAGGGTTTGTGAAGATAATCACCCTGGATAAGAGTAATGTATTCATTTCGCGCATAAGCACGTTGCTAAATCTCTGAGGGACCGTGCAGATTTGGGGAATTAGGAGTCAAGTGTGATTATTCGTTTTGAATCATTACCACTTCAAGTCTTCGATCAAACGATGCGGTGTCTAAAAGGAGGGAGGTGATGTGGCGGGGAGAGAACTGAGGTTAAAGGCGCTCCAGGTGCCAGGTGCTTTAGTGTGTTACCTCATTTATCAGGTGGCCATGATTATCCGGGTTCTCTGTGCCCCCCTCAGCCCCTGGTGCACTTGCTCTTCCAAGTGGTGAGTACACTGCATAAGTCTAGAAGAAAATTCCTCTCAATTTCAGGTTATAGACTCCACATGACCCCATTTTAGAGACATTAGTTACAAGTGCAGTGTTTTAACTCATGGCATTTATAATAGTGTTCATATAGGTAACATTAATGATTTAAAAGTCAATTGAAAAAAAAGCATAGTGAGCCCTTATGTGTCGGATGTTACATAGGATGCAACATGTGCGGTGTACACAGCTCCCCAATTGTGACTCATGTGGGGACTGCCTTCTTCCTCTGTGACACCACCTCAACTTCACCCTAAGAGGTCTCACAGTTCTTCAGGGAACAAGGGTGCCAGTGGACTCTGCAGGAGTGAATTCATAGGCTGAGCTCTCAAGAGCCCTTCAGCTGGGACCTTTCACCTGGAAATTCATCAAACTTTAAACCCCACTATCAGAAAAGGGAGGTGGCCTTGTAACAAGGATTCACTTCTGCTTTCAATCCCGTGAAACCGAAAATGCTACTAAGATCAAAATGTTTTGAGGAAGGAACTCCTTTGCATGCAAATCATGACTTGGTATCATAATCATCATTATGAATGTGTACCGAACTCATAGAAGAAACTTGGCATGCTGTCAGTTCATGTTACAGTCTTTACCGTGGCTTGTGTTTCTGATCTTTAAAAAGTGTTTATAAGGGTAATTAGCAGTTTGGAACTCATATAATTGGAGATGGTATGAAAAACTACGCTTTTTAGTCTGTCTTAAAGTAATAGCAGTAGTCCGTGCCGTGCCCTCATATTCTTAGAATTTAAACCCCTTCAGGAGTCGGGGGAAAACCACCTTTCCTTCCCCTTCTAAATCCAGTGACTTGCTAATCTCTTAACAGAAAAGCTCCAGATCTCTTATTTATTTCTAGCCACACTGCGTTACAGATCTGCTAATCTAACTTATTCCAGAGTAGAGAACACCAGGTTTTCTGTTCCTTTTGCTGTTTTGGGAAATCTACTAGCATTAGAGATAAGGGACTGTGTAAGGGATGTCTTGATACCCTTGCTCCTACCTCAGGGTCTGATATAGTATTTTATAGAATGAGAGCTGAAATGAGAATTTCATTAGCAATTTTTAAAAGATTTTTGTTAAAATATAGCTAACACACACTATTATAGTAATTTCAGGTGTATACCATAGTTATTCAACTTTTATAGACCTAAAGAAGTGATCACGATAATAAGTCATCACGATAATAAGTCCAGCAACCATCAGACACTGTACCATGCTATCACAATATTATTGATTATACAGAGGAGAATTGGGGAAGGATAGGTGAAAAAGGGGAAGGGATTATTAAGAAGTTCAAATTGGATGTTACAAAGTAGTCTTGGGGATGTAGGCTGTAGCATAAGGAATATCAGTAATATTGTAATAACTGTATGGCGTCAGATGGGTACTAGATTTATTGGGGTGATAAATGGGAGGGGGGTTGTGGTACAGGATGAAAAAGGTGAAAGGATTATGAAGTACAAATTGTTTTTTGTTTTTTGTTTTTTAACAGTGATGCTTGTTACAAGGGAAAATAATACTTTTGGTTTTGTTTTAAATTTCTGCTTTGGGTGATGTTTATCCTATTCCCCAACTAAGAATCATAAAGCTAACGAAATTACAATAAAATATATGCTAATTTACATGCATAATATGCCATGGAGTTGAACCTTTTAACTTTTTTCAGTTCACAGACTTCTAGATAAAGGTGAGCTGTCTTCAATAATACCTACTTTCTCAAAAACCTATAATCGTTTTCACTGGTATTCCACATGAGTTCCTTAAATAATTTGTTCTGTTCACTCTTTTTTAAAAAAATTGATTTTCCACTAATTTCCTTTGCAAACTGCACACAGTTATTGGCTGCAAATGGCACTGGATATGGTTGGGATGGACTAAGAATGGAAAGTGGTTTTTGCCTTCAAAGAAAATAAATATGTTTGGGAGAAAGACACAGATATGGAAAATAGCCACAGTATAAAATCTCTGTAGAACAATTCCAAGACAATGTTCAATCACATGTTTATAGAAGACAGCAGGGGGACCTAATGTGGAACAGTTTTGAGACTAGAGATTTGATAAGATGGGTCTGGTTGATGGAGTAGCAGAGAACTTATATTTGACATGGTAGGCAAGAGAAAGTGAATTTTAGTTTCTAGACTGAAAAAGAAGCATATGAAAGAGCTTCATGTAGAATAATGATGTAAGAAGACTCATGGCATGGATTTCATTTGTGAAGCTATTGCGGTAATCATAAGCATAAATGCGGATAGAATGGAGAGAGAAGTATTATAGGCAGGACTGGACTAGTAATGGGAAGAGACAACCGAAATAACTTTGGATTTTTAATCTAGGTTACTATTGACACCTGGAGAAAATGAGCGAGCATAGTTAACTGAGGATCAGTGAATTTGTTGCGATCTTGTATGGTGGAGAGTATGTAAGCTTTGAAATTAGACCACTGGGTTTAAATCCCACTCAACTATTTCTTAAAAGTGTGATTATAGGCAATTTATGTAAACTCCCTGGGCTTCAGTTTCCTCGTTGTTAAAAGGAAAGAAAAATACCTACATTATAGGATTATTGCAAAAGAGGAATAAATAAAGGATCTGGCACGTATGTTATCTATTGTTGTTATTCATTTTTCATGTTTAAACAAGCTAGATTACATGTACGGTTCCCTTTTTGTCATCGATAGATAATGGTAGAGTTAGATTAGAGCCAGAGTTGGTTCCCAGATGGTTGTAAAGGCAGGCAGATGTTTTTGAAAAATTTACATGTATCTCAGAATAACAGATTTTCAGGAATACAAATAATTTTTTAAATGACCTACAAAGCAACTTTTGTGATTGGTAATAAAATATAAGGATATAGGATATACTCGTGCTAAATTTTCATATATGTGAACCCTTTCTGGGATTATGCATTCTTAAGAGGAAGAGGGCTAGTAAACGATCAGATAACTTTAATTCTCAGTGTTTCTGAAATTCTGAAATAGAAATATTTACAGTTTTTTTCTGAGATGCTATGACCTCGGTGGGAGACCTATTTATTGTTAATATGTCTTAAAATCTTAGAAGTGTAATAATAGATTATGACTTTTAAGGTGAAAGGTATGACTTTTTTCTACCTTTCAATCATAAAGACTAATTTTTCATAAGTTAAACAATTTGGTAGATATTGGGGGTAAGACAACTCGAAAGACACCATAATATGTTCAAAGCAGTGGTTGAGTGAGGAACAGGAGGAAATTTTGCTGCCCTTTCAAGACCTCATCCATTCAACATCACCCAGCAAACAAAAATCTTACATGAAGGTGCAAAATAATTGCTAACAAGCAAGATAAATATTATAAGTTGCAGAAATTATTAATGGTCAACAGAGATAGGGAAAGAAACAACGCAAAGAATTTTACCAAAAAATATCTGAGAAAAGTCTACAGAGAAAATTAAGTTAATGGAAAAAGATCAAGGAAAAATAAAGGTGATTCTTAGGGATCCTTTAGACATTGCGGGATAAGGAGAGTAGTAATGAGCTCGAGTGTAGTGGATACCCTGGGGTGATGCTGGAAAGCTAGAGATTCAAAAATATGACACTTTTCCAAGGGCGAAAATAGGATCTGATGGACCTGAGGTCTGTCTGGTGTCCCTGTAGCCAAGTTCTCCCGCGGTCTCTGAGGACTTCAGGGGTGGACTTTTGGCATCAGCTTATGCTCAAGACCATGGCTGGTCTACTCAGCATATTTACAAAGAGAAAAATAGGATTTGGGTAACCGGACGTTACTGTAATTTTTGTTCATTTGCAATATTCTTTTAGTGAGAAAACAGATAAATGATATGGGAGGTCTATTGATGTAAAACAATAGAAAATTGCTCACTAGAAACTAAAGAGGAAAATCTAAACTATACAGAGCCTATAGCAGAGAGGCTTTATATCAACAGGAACTTTGAAATGTGTATCAATATAATAAGCTACATCAGAACAGTGATGAAAGAGGGAAGAAAAATTAGAAATTTAAGCCCAGTGAAAACCTTTGATCATGTAGAAATCTGGAAGCTGTTGGGGGAAAAAATAGATTAAAATAGCTCAAGCAGTTTTACATCAGTGGGATATTTCATCTTAGTGGTACTGATATGTGTATTACCCTGGAATGTGTTGTATATCATGAAAAGATGCCTCATTTATCTGTAACAAGCTTTGATAAATGTAGGATTATTTTATAATGTTTTGTTTAAGTGGTAAGAAAGCGAGGCACACTTATGATAGATACAGTGTGACATAGAAGCCAGGGATGCTAAACATTTTGCTGTGCTGGAGGCAGCCCCCCCACAATACAGGCCCCAAATGTCAGTAACGCCAAAACTGAGAAACCCTCCTCGAATACACTGAGTAAAAGAGAGAGATGTTTTTCTTTGTGTTTCTCAGCCATCTGTAATTCTCAAATGACCGGTGGTGAATAACTGTATTTTGTTTTTAATTTCCAATCCTTGTGGACCTATAATTTTTGTAAAATATAATGAAAATTTCATGGAAGTATCAAATTGTTATAAGAATTACTGAATGCTCTCAATTTCTTCTCGTGAATGGATCACAAAGAGTTTGTAGATTTGTACCAATCTCTGGACGTTTTGAGTATTTCTGAGTTTTCATCTCTGAATATTCTATAATAAACTTGTATAATTTTTGAAAAAATTAAGAAAAAGAGGTTTTAAAAAGATACATATATAGTTGTTTTGACAATTTGGCAATAGGGAATTGCTTGATGGAAAACAAATGAGAAATATGTTGAAGCTTCCACAATTAAAAATCTTGGGGGTGGGGGGACCGCAGTTGTTTTTAATATCATAATATCTAGAGAGCATATATAGTTAGGACAAAGATGGTTAATCAATTGCTAGCGTTTGTTCCCCCGCCCCCAATTCCATACCCCAGGCAGATGGCCTCAGCACTCCTTCCTATGAACCCCTGACACAGCCTCAGAATCCTTCTTAATATAGTACTGATGAAAGCTACCACCATTTTAAGGAAGTTGGTATCAGATATGAAACCTACTTAAATTATGTTCTGAAGGTCTTTTAAGTATAATACTGTGATTATCTTGACCTTGTATTTTCTGTTGTTTTTCTTTCTTCTTTTTTTTTTTTTTTACACAGCCTTTCTGATTTATCAGGGTTATTAAAAATCTTAAAGCTTTTCATGTGCTTGGTCTCATCCTATGTATACTATTCAAAATCTTAATCATGGTAAAAGAAATTCATGTCTTCATTTTATTTTATTACCATGTTTGTTGTGACAAAAATATATCTTGAGCTAAAGCAGAAGTTACAGTAAATACAATCATTGGTCTAGGGAAGAAAGAAAATCAAGTGACTATAAAGGTATACCTAGGTTCATGGTTGTCAGAAGTAATGTCTTTGAGGAACTGTGACCCATTTTTATATAGCTTTGTAGTTTCTTTTATTCATTCATTTCACAAATATTTATAAGTCACCATCTATGCTCTAGGCAACATCCTTGATCATTCAGATCCATCAGAACAAAACAGGCGAAACTTTCTGCCCCCCTGTCTGGAGTTGACGTGGATTTTTTTCTTAGCATCCTAAAAACTCATAAAGGTTTCTAGCTTTCACAGCACAGAATTAAAATGTCACATGGATTTCCTTATGGCAGCATTAATATTTTCAGCTGTGAAATTTAATAGTGAGGTTGTAGTAAATTTCTACTAGGAAAAAAATCACAAAATCAGGCTACTTTTCCAGACTGTGCTTCCTGTTTTTTTAGAGTTGGGATCTAACCTACCTTGTAGGAATATAGCCAGTATAAAATGTGAAAAGGAATATAAAACCATTGTGAAAAAATATAAGTGGTTATATATAATCCAACTTTTTATTTTTAATCAGAAACCCTAATGATGAAAAATATAGATCTATCCGGATTGGAAACACAGCCTTTTCTACTAGACTCTTGCCTGTCAGAGGAGCTGTTGAATGTTTATTCGAAATGGGCTTTGAAGAGGTAAGTGTTTAAGTGTATCTTCTCTCCAATTCATGTACCAAGCATTTGTTACTGTCTTGATGGGTAATTACCTAAATAAGATCATATTTTTTTATTAATTGATCATTTTGGAAATTTAACTAGTTATTTCTTCACCTATTAGACATTTAAGTAAGCCACAATAAATATACTGTAAAGTCACAGTAAAACATAACAACTCTCCCACAGGGAAAAGTCTTACAAGTCTGTTTTTTAGTACTGGGAGGTCAGACATGCTACCCAAGGACCAAATTCCAGCTCACTTTATACTTTTAGCAAAAGCATGATTTGTGCTCCTGATTTGTAAGCATGCATGGATACTAATAGGGTGCAACCACCTGTTTCCACTATGGAATGAAAAGAGGAAACACAGAAGCTGGGTTTAGTTGCCACACATAAGGGTTTTCTTCTGTGACAGAAAAAAAGAATCTCGGTGTATTTTTTTGTTTTTAGGTCAAAAGAAAAAGACCCATTTTTTGGAATCTTGTGGCATAGCTTAATTTTATGACACAATGAAAGTAGTAAGCAAGATTGTGAATTTTCTTTATGTGTATATGCTTAACCATTTCTAGTTTATGAAATAGTGAAAGAAGTTGAACCAGATCTTAGAGACTCAGTAGTCAGTAGCAATCAGAATTGTTAAAGAGGCTTGCTGAGTTGCTATAGGATACACTTTCCTTCCTGCCTCTCTGCTTCCGGCTCCAGGTTCTGTTTCAGGCCCTGGGGATATAGTAGTGAACCAGGTAGATACAGATCTCATCTCACCTGGAGCTTGCATCCTAGTGGGTTAGACAATAGACACAAAAAGGAAGATGCGTGCAGAGAAGAAAAGAAGACATGATGACAATAAAAAGCAGCTGTAGTGGCGGCAGCTACTAGGATGAGTGGTCAGGGAAGGCCTCTGAGGAGATAATATTTGAGCTGGGACCTGAGTGACAAAAAGTAGTCCAGGTTCCTGAAGCTCTCTGGTAAGAGTATTTCAGGCAGAGGGATTCACATGTGCAGAGGGCTTTCTAGTGGGAGTAGCTTTGGCATAGAAAGTAGCTAGACGGTGGCAGACAGAGGCCAGGCAATGGGGTGTGAGGACTGTGACAAAGAATTGAACTTTATTCTAAGTGAGATGGGAAGCCACTGGAAAGTTTTAAGCAGAGAAAATATTTTTAAAGATTACTCTAGCTGTTGTAAAAAGACTATTCTGGATGTTCTGGGATGGAGACAAGGGAGAAAGCAGGGATAACAGTTAGTAAGCTTATTCTCTTAGTGTAAATGAGAAATGGTAGTGGTTCGTGTAAGTTTCATGAGGGCGGGGTCTTCTGTCTGTTTTGTTTCCTTGTTGCTAGCTCCTGGAGCAGTGCTGGTGCATTTAGGCACTCAGTAAACGTTCGTTGACTGAATGCCTGGTTGCAGTGGAGATGGGGGGAAAGAAGAGGGGTCCAGGATTTCTTTTTGAAGTAGAACCCACAGGACTTGCTGATGCATTGGATGTGGGATATAAGGACAAGGAAGGAATCAGGACGACTTCTGGGTTTTGGCTTGAGCAACTAAGTCGATGGAAGTACCAGTAATTGAGCATGAGAAATCTTGGAGAGTAACAGATGTCAGGGGATAAAGCACTACCTATCTTTTGGGTAATTAATAACTAATATACTATTAAATATCCAAGTAGAGAAGTCAGATAGGCAGTTGGATATATGAGTCTATAACTCAAAAGGAGAGAATAAATTCCTGTGTCATCTGCTTATAGTTACAGTCATCTGAACATAGAGGATATAAAACTATAGAGGGAGAAAATTGAGAACATTGCTGATTTTGTTCAAAGAAATGCAGATTTTTGAGAGTCAAATGACAGGAGAATTGAGTAAATGACAACTGGAGACTGTATTAATTTCTTATTGTTGAAGTGTCACAGATTCAGTGGAATCACATTTGCCTTTCATGCAGCAAATATTTGAGTGCCAGGTGGAGTGACCAACTGTCCCAGTTTGCCTGGGACTGTCCTGGTGTTAGCACTGAAAGTCCCACATCCCAGAAAACCCCTCGGTCTCAGGCAAGAAGGAAGGTTGGTCACACCAATGCCAGGTAACAAGCCAGACTGAAACTTGCAATAGTATTTGATACAAATGGAGTCACTACTTCAGAAAAGATTAACATGGGTAGACTAACTCATACTTAAAGTGTCTGTCTGGCTTTGGACTTAACACCTCAGGACCTGTCTGAAGTAAATGTTTTTATCAGTGTGGCTGAGTTGCAGGAGGAACCAGTGGAACTAAAACTGAACTCTACCACTTAAAAAGAACCTTGGTGGGCTTTGAGATGAAGTAGGACTCTAAGATCTATCCCGAAATTTTCAACTGGATATTAAAATCCTGGGCACTTTGGGGCCCACTCATCTCTGAGGCTGCCTTCTTTTCTATGAAAATTCTGAGAAGGAAGGAGGTTGAGAAAGACTGGGATCCAAATGGATATGTGACCCATCAGGCAACTTAGTGGCGTGGTTCTCACCAGGAGCCGTACCCACCCTCCATCTATGCCCCCGTCCAGGGCATTGGAGGAGGGCAGTTTTGGTCGTCTTGGTGACTGGTGTTTAGTGGTCAGGGGCTTGGTTTGCTTAACCATCCGGCAATGAGAATTGTCTCAGCAAAAATGTATTGAGAAACATAAATTTGTTGAATACTAGAATTCTCAATGCTTTCTTAAAATGTTATTGGATCTAGTGCATTGAACCTGTAATTTTGTTCTTTTATGAAAATATAGTGCTGTTTATTAAATACTTTTGGTACAGACACATTGGCCATAATCATGTTCTTTTAGGACTGGTCCTGAGAAGGTAGAAGGAAAGAGAGCCGAGGCATGAGCAGCATCTCGGTCTTGTCAGGGACCTGTCTGAGGTGTGGGCTGAGACCCAGTCCCAGATACGTGTTATACATCGCCATCCATGGCGTCATGTACCTTTCTCTGTGCTCCTCACTAACAGTATGAGAAGCCTCCGTATTTGGCTTAAAACCAGATATCTGGTTTCTCTTCCCAGGCCTCATCCTAGATGTGTGGTAGTTCCTCCTAATGTTGGAAAAATGGTTGTGTTCTAATTTGTGCTAATCATCATATATGTAATCATAACAACTGTGGAAATATTCTCTCTCTGCTAACCCTTCCAACCGTTTGCACAACCTTGTGATTTTTGGTCTCTGTTCTGTCTAAGATGGAGTCAATGACAGCCTAACAATTAAGATCTTGCAGTTTGAATCCTTGCTCTGACAATTCTGTAGGAGCATCAGGCAGGTTAACTTCTCTGAGCCTTTGTATTTTCATATAAAAAGTAGGATAAACCTAATGCCCACTTTTCAGGGTGGTTGTGAGAATTACTTGAGATAATGTATGTAAACACTTAGACAGTACCTAGAACACACAAACGCAATACATGGTAGTAGTCATTTTCCCAACTGTTATAAGTAATGTATAAAGCTTGCTGGCCTCTTACAGCCTTTCAAAACGGATTCATGTGTAATTGATGTTCATATTATTATTGAGTATGTCTTCAGTTAATTACTGTAGGCCTGCCATCACCAAGAAAATAAGGTCACTCTCAATTGTTGGATTTAATTTAAATGCTTACAATCTACAAATCTGACCACTGCATTTTGTAACAACTGTTTTATCTCATTTGCAGTTGTTGGAATTACTGTTGTAACACTGTTGCTCCTCAGCACCTTGAAACTTGATTGAATATATTTTCATTTCACCTTTTTTCTTGTTTTGTAATTTGCTGACTATTTTACCTTGTGAGCTTTGCTATAATGTTTATTGTATCTCAAAGCACTCTGATTATGTTATGGATATTCATTAAATGAATCACTGGATAAAAAATTAGATTTTTATTGTTTGATATTTTGTTTTGTTTGGACCAAAAACACATACTCTTAGTAATCTAGTAATATCAACTCTTATTTCTCTAGTTCTTGGGATGAAGTATTACTGTTGACAGTCCATAGTTTTGAATTGTCCATCAGGTTGTACTTTTTTTTATCTCGTGGAATTAGTGAAACCTACATAGAGACTTCTAATCATGTAGCTATTCTTTAAAGACGGGTTTAAAAGATTGAAAGGTTGTTATATAACTTCTTGGTGGTTTTATGTGACCATTGATCATTTTGCATGTCTGTATGTCTAGCATCATTATTATTTTATAGAGTGTTTAATAGAGAATTATTATTTTATAGTGTTTCATGGAGAATGGTAGTATCATATACTACTGTAGAGAGGATAGAAGTGCACATATTTGGAACTCTTATGAGGCTTTCTGACTTATTATTCCTAAAAGATAAAATATTTTTCTGAAGGTTCTTTCAACTAATAAAAGAGGCTTAGCATGGTATACAAACAAGAAGACAAATTTTCTTAATTTTCTGGTTTATGTTAGGCATTACCTTTGACCATATATATATTAAAAAGTGTCATATGGTAAGAAAACAGAATGATTGTTAAAATATATTCTACAGTA